ACTGCTAAATTAGGGACGGCTAGTGCAGATAGCCCTCGTGTAGCTTTGCGCGAAATCCATAACAAACAAACAAACAATCTAAACTTAAGATTGTAATGACATATTACACAGCTTGGTTTATGCAAGTGTATTGGTCATTACAAAACCATACTGGTCTTTGTTGACTAAATTATATACTAAATTTTTGTCTATGTCATATTGAGCTACCTTCTAATTCTAATACTGTAAAGTAGGGTGACTTTGGGACTGGCTAATCTAAATGTACATTAGCATTTTGAATAACATAATTTTTATTAAACAATCAGTAGAAAGGATAATAATTTTGCCAACATTAAGTTTAAAATACTTTGCCCTAAAAGTGAATATAATTTAGTTTAGCTTATTGATTATAAATATCTCTATAAAAGGAAAAATAAACTGTTTAAAGTTTGTGATAGCTAGTATATTTTTCAGACTGTCAGTAAAAGGTGTAAAATGTGGTTATCATAAATGTATAGCTTTTAAGTTTGCTGCTGTTTTTATCTTTTATCTATTCTTTTCAATAATCATTAGCCATTGTTGTGGCTTATTTGACAGTTGCTTTAACTGTTGCAGAAAAAATATTTCAGCTACTTTAACCCTGTTTGTTACTGAATAATGCAGTAAACCTTTTATTCTTATCCTGATAAGCTTAGTAATAATCTTTAGATTTTTGTATAATAAATCTCTTCAAGGTACATGTATGTTCTCTAACAAATGTACCCTGAACTGTATATTGACTTAACCAAAATTGTAGTCATTTATCACACCAAAGAAACTTGTAGCTTATTACTTGTTCACTTTTCCTAACCACTTTGATAGTAAGTGGAAATTTATTTATTCTCTCCATTTGACAATTCAAGAAAGATTTTAAAGAACATGTGCATGTACTATGTATATGTATGTATGTGTGTATATATGTATGTATCTTTAATACTGATTTATATATGTGTGTGTGTGTGTGTGTGTGTGTGTACACGTTTGTAATAAAGATTTGTTTTTAAATAATAAAATGAAAAAGAAATATTGAGTAAGTGTATGAACATATGCTTGTCTTAATACCTTAAACATAAATTTGTGTTCTAGTTAAAAACAAAGTCTTATAAGCTTTAAAATTGCATAATAAAGGAGGAAAGTGATACGATGTAAACTCTTTGTCAATGATCATTGAAATATTCAAATGTAACTTGTATTGTTTCTTGTAAAGAATAGTGTAATTTGAGTGTCAGAATATCATTTTTGGCACAAAATATATGCATGATTGTAACTCATTTTTTAAAACAAATAATTAGATTTACAGTAACAACTGTGTTACAGAATGCTTCAAGTAATAATTTTCATTAAAAAGACCTACTTGACAGAACATTAGCTACCAGTCTGTCTTTTCAGATAAATACTTCATTCTTGGCATGTAAATGAGTAATATTTTTTCATTTAAAGGTAGAAAAATAAACACATTTTACTTAAATTATTGTCCCTTTAGGTATGGAACTGTCTGTGGCTGGCATGCTGACAATGGAAAACTGTTGTTCCGATCCCACCTTTCACACTTCAGTGACATTAACAGTGTTGATGCTTGGAATAACATCATTGTTTCTGGTTCAAAAGATGGAACTGTCAAGGTATGTGGTTCTTTTTGTGTTTGATGCTGAAAACACTTCTTTTTCTGGCTTTGACCCTGAATTAATTTTTCACTTTTGTTAAAGATATAATTGTTTTAAGAACATTTTATTAAAAAAAAGCATTGGCAATCTTGGTATTTAAAATAAAAGAAGAGTTAGAATCATTAAACACTATTCTGGTATACGCATCTATTCCTCAGTCCTAAATTTCAAAAGAAAAATCAAAATCCACTAAATGTTGGATAGGAAGTTCATCCATGAACATACTTTCTATTTAAACTCATTCTCGTAATTTTTCATTTTTTAAATCTTGCTGATTTGTTGGCTATATTTTCAGACTTGGAATGTGCAGAAGGGTTTACTTGTTCTTAGGAGCACACTTCAGATTAGAGATAGGGTTTGGTCTCTCACCGTAACTCCCATAGACAGGTATGAACACAGTAATTTAAAATAAAAACACCAACTATTACAAGTGTTATATAATTTCTTGCTATACTTTAACCTTTTCTTCTTGGGCATCCTTTACTGTGCATGTCACAAGGGTTTTAGAGAGTTACATTTAAAATTTAGTTAAACATATTTTTGTTCATGTTATACTAATTTAGTATAGCATAAAATCTTAGCTAATAATCCATATTTTAATAGTATATAAGTTTTTCATTTTATAAGGCAATATATTTAAAAAAAATACTGAATTACCACTAGAGTGAGAAATGTGACATTTTTTTCTTTGGGCATCCTCTCTTCCTTAATATATTCACCACCCCTCCAATAAGTATAAAATTTAATGTAAATTATTCATTATAATATTTTCGTTCTAAAAAAATCATAATTTTCCTAGCTTTCAATCTTGTTTGGTTATAGAGCCATCAAACAGAAAATCAGACTCCTCTTGCCATACCCACCTGTCACATCCTCTGTTTTAGGATTTATCAATAGTTCTCTCTAATGCTTAATACTATATTATTTATAACCAATTAAAAGCCAAGGTTTCATCTATCTAATGACATATTATATTATGTTGTTTTCTGTACAAAGAATTGTCAATTTCTCTTTCAGTACGAGCTTTGTTCACCAAAGGAAACACATCAACTAGTTTGGATGAATTTGTAATGGCTCTTGTTGCAAAGCTGGAAAACCAGAAAAATTGTGATAATTGTGGGACATTTTCAGCTTTTTGCATGTTATTATTCTATGTTCTTTGATGCATTATTTAATTAAATGAAAATTATTTAGTGCACTACTACTATTAGTGTGTGTGTGTGTGTGTGTGTGTATTATATAAAAGAAAAAAGTAGACTTAATTGTCATTGACAGTTGACAGCAAAATAAAGGCCCAGGTAAGTACTTTATTTCTTGATTTTCATGTATATTCCTTATTTATTATTATAAAAGTAACTAAAATGTAAAGATAGGAAACACTAGGTTAATTAAGGTTAGATTAGGTAAAATATATAATACTAATATAATGTAAAATGTTCATGAGTCACACACGCGCGAGCAGCTCGGAGTAGCTCATGGTTAATGTAATTCAATAGCGTAATTTGAGCTGCATGTTCCTCAACTGATTTCCAACTTATAATGGCATGAATAGCAGATAAACATGGTTCAAAAGGCAATAAAAACAATAACATTTAAGTATAAATACTTGTATACTGTTAAGAGTTTAAAGTTACTTAGGATAAATGAATGTAGTTTCACGGTTACAATATAGTCATTCTAGAAACAAAAAAGGTAATTTAGAGTACTTTTTTTTTTGTTTTCTTATGTTACAAGGTTGGCCTTTTTAATGTATCAAAAATTAATTTATCAAAGTAAAAAGTAATAGTTTGCTTATAAGATGCAAAGATAGTACAGTTGGTTTAGAAATATGTGTAACATGGTTTGTATAGTCATCAAAAAACAAAATTGAACTTCTAAAGGATAAGACAACACAATTTGGGAAGTAGCAGTTGTGAATATGTGTAACATGGTTTGTATAGTCATCAAAAAACAAAATTGAACTTCTAAAGGATAAGACAACACAATTTGGGAAGTAGCAGTTGTGAATATCCAAGTCTGTCATCCCCGATTATTAATAATGTTATAACAGTTG